AGGGTTCACAACAACCCCAGTATCCGCAATCCAGCCATCTCCTTACCCGGAAGCTTCATCGGTCCCTCTCGCAGTTCAATAAACAGGATGAGGAGCTGGTATATTATTGTTACTGTATATCTGCAACTAAAAATAATATCACATGCAGTAGAGTGAGCAAGTTTTCAGTTAACAGTACGTAAATTTTTAAAACTTTGCTTAGTAACTAAACTATAAGATGTAGCATTATAAGTTCTAAAATACCAATTCCAAAAGTCACCAAAATTTGAAAGAGTAGCTATACGTTGAGAAGAATAGCACAATTTATATGATAAATTAGGAGAATAAGCTTGCAATACTTTAACAGCAGCAGCTGTAAGATTAATATATTTGAGTTGATATAAGTCGATATTGTTTTGATGAAACTTTGTGAGAGTATCTGTCATAAGAATTAAACAAAATTATCTTTCAGAGATAATGCTAGTAGTAGAGATAAAATAAATAAAATACGATTTGGCCAATAAATATAATTAAGATAGTATGTGTGCGAAAAAAGAATAAAGAAATAGTAATTAAACAAAATAAATGATGTCAAAATAGTTTTAAACAATTCATAAACAATTCAATACAATGAATACAATTATAGCTATTTAATACAATAAGCTAGCAGACTTGCAAGAGATCAAAGTATAAACTCTCTGAGTATAAAATAAAATAATAATAATAATAATAATAATAAATTAATTAAAGAAGATTATACCAAACAAATTGCTTTCTTTTTAAGAGCAAATCCTGCAATAAATTAGTTAGTAATATATAATCCAAGATGAAGGGTTCCAGTAGCCTTAGTAGAATTTGCTATAATTCCACAGTTATTTGGCCAGAGTTTCTTTTTGATTATTTCCCTAAGAACAGTTAAGGTTTAGATTTACTTCTTTTCTAAAGACAGTTTAGTGTTTTTGGGATAATTTTGTATTTCCGCCAAGAGGCACCAAAATGTTACAATGTTATAGCCTTCTAAATACCAATATAGCACAGTAACAAGGTCACCCGATGCAGTGATATACTTGATGAATGTACACAGGGTAGAAGTGAAGGGTTGGATTACTTCACTAGCAAGAGGCAGATGATTCGAGATAGTAACAGGATATAACTTTATTAAAATAAGAGATGGTAATAAGCCTTGCCTGTAAGAATTACTCTAGAGAAGGAATATTACACTTTACAAGAGGGGATAAGAGAAGTATCTAATGCTATGAGAGAGGTAGGAACTCTAAACTGAGCAGAAGGAGGAAATACACCCTTTATATATCTTTTACATGCCAAGCCAAGGTAGTAGAGGAACTTGAAGGCCGTGTTGAGGGAGTTGAAGGCCGTGTTGAGGGAATTGAGGGACTTGAGAGACTTGAGGGCCGTGTTGAGGGAATTGAAGGCTGTGTTGAGGGAGTTGAGAGACTTGAGGGACTTGAGGGCCATTTTGAGAGAGTTAAAGGCCATGTATTGTCTCTGATACTACCTTGTCTATTTTAGTAACAGTATATGCCACAGTGGCTCTACTTTAATATTTTTACTTAATAAAGTTTCTGTTAACTCTTATGCCAATAATAATATATAATACAAATATATATAATAATAAATATCCAATAAATATAAACTAAATAATATAAAATATAAAATCTAAATTATGTGCTACACTAAGCTAATCTATGAAAACCTGTTTCACAACACTATATAGATTATTTGGTTTTGCTTAATTTTAATTTAATTTATTAAAACTAAAAATTTATTGTTTCTTAAATATTTTAGAATCTAGTAATTAGAATTAAATAAACTCTTTTTTATTAGATATGCCTTACTGAGAGCTTTTATTTAAAAAAAATTTCATCCAGATTGGACTACTAGTTGTCAAGATAATTATAAAAAACTACTTTTTGTATATTTTGATTCCTTGAAGTAGGTCCAATTATAGTTTCTTTAAGTTTATGTGAGAAGTTATTAAGTAAAGATATATTTAAGCTCTAAGTAAAGTTGTAGAGGGGATAATTTTGAGTCAAATGGTGGTTAAGTCATCAAAATTAGGCCAGTAGTTATTGAGATATATGGAATTAAAGATCTAAACATAAGGATTAATACATTGTTACGGCCAATATCGGTTCTTGATTGAATATTGACTGAGACAATATCATTGCAATAGGGATAGAAACATATATGTTATGGGGACAGTACGAAATTATAGATAATATTATGACAATAAGACAATAGCAGTGTTGAATTAATTTTGCCAAAGTTGGGCCAGTATCGCATTTAAGAGAATAGTCTCTTGACCACATGTGTTATCAATCAAATTATGTATCATTAATAACCCGGGTTTGATCAGGTAACCAAGATCAAGTATGAATTAATTAAGTCATATATACAATATAAGTTTAAGAGAAGGTATGATTAAGAAATTATATAATTAAGAAAGATAAATTATATGATCAGTAATGATATAATTGATTAGTAATCAAATAAGGGTATTTAAGAGACGTGGGAAATAAAGAAAATATTAGATTCTTTTCGCTTACAAATAATAAAAATATTCTTAAAGTATAAAATTAAAAATAAAGATAAATAAAAAATAAATAAAAGAAAAGTTACCTCCATATTGAGATGTTGGTACCCAGATACAGTAAGTTGTTTAAAGTGTTATTTTGACATGTCGCTGGTTAGTGATGAAGTTAATAAATAAAAAATAAATAAAGAAAAGTCACTACTATACTAAGACATTGGTTATTTAGTAGTAACTAGAAGTCACGTATAGTGGTGGTATCGGAACCACCACGACAGAAGAACCTGAGCACATCCGTGATTAGTCACAAGTTGCCTAAGAATAAATTGTAGATACAGAAGAAAAATACTATGGGAAAAAACTTGTTAAGCTAGTTAAAGTTTCTTCGAAACTGTGAATAACACCGGTGGAAGAACCTAGATGATACTCCAGTCTAAGCTAACATGGGAATATTTGATCTAACCAAGCCAGTTTATAATGGACAGAAAAATATTAAGGAGTTTTTGGTGTACTTCGAAGCATACACAGCTTCGAAAGATTGGAATGATGAAAAGAAGGTCCTTGTAGTTATATTATATATGGCTGATAGATTGAAGCCAACAATGATACATTTAAGGAAAGATAACCAGACCTGGAGTGATCTGAAAACAGCAATGTTGAATAGTTGGAAAATTTTGGAAAGTACTAATGAAAAACTAGAACAGGTAAAAAATATGACTCAAGAAGAAGATGATACAGTCTAGATATATACGAATTGTTTTGATACTTATGTAAAAGAATTGAACAAGAATTTGAGAGATCTAGAAAAGAGTGAGTGGTACATACAGGGTCTTCAAAGCCTATATCGAGAAAAGATCATCGGTATGAAACTATACATGTTGGCAAAATCCCGACTTACTATAGTTTGGGATTTGTCCACCATCCCAAATCCCAAATCCCAAATTCTAGTATAACTAATATCTCAAAAACTTTATTAATAATCTTTATTTAAACAAATTATATATATTCTTATAGTTATAAATAATATATTTACAAAATATTAAAATTATTTATTTGATTTAATCTTTTATAAATAGCAATTGTTTTTTTATTATTTAGAATTTGTCCAGGTTTTGCCAGCAAGTATATATGAGACCCGATACATATAAGAAGGCGAAGAAGCTAGCTATTAAAATGGAAAAGTATAATCAGGACAGAAAATATATTAATAAGTATTCAACGCATATTGCTAGTAAAAGAATGAACAAATGAAGCTAATGGGTTCGCTAGTACAAGTGAGCCGAAGAAGATATGTAAAGTCGAAAAGAGCACTACACACGATATGAGTAGAATTGGCAAGATGGAAACAAGTATAGCCGAATTAAAAAAGGCCATACAGACACTTATAGATAATAGACATACTCCAAATCAACATAGGGCATCATATAACATGACACTAAACAGAAGAGGAGAAAATAGAGGCTCTGGTATTAATTCTCGGAAATGTTTCACGTGCAATCATGAAGGGCATATCCCTTAAATTGTAACACAGGCAAATTTGCCTGCGAAGATTTTTATTAATTTTTTTAATATTTAAATTTTTTAA